CCGCCGATCGCTGCTACCAGTCGCGACAACTGGTCTCACGCGACACACAGACACATACATCTACACGCACGCACACATTGTACATAAAAACACAAATACATATTTCTTTTACATCTATCCAAGTCGTATTTCACTGCGATATTACCGCCTTGTCTCTCTCCTCCTGGCCGAACCTCTTTGCGACCCTGGCCGCAGCCCGTGACCGACGAGCTATGTCCGCGCAAAGTCAGGTTGTTTCAACGTGTCACGTAGATCATTTTCAAACGGATTCGTATAAAAGACGAGCACGTGTGATAGTATCAGTCAGTCGTATGTTTTTTCTCGCAATGAAGACGAGTGACGAGAAATCGCACAGTGCGACGAAAATCGTCACACATTCGATCGGTAAAAGAAACGCCTGTCTTCTCGCGGCCCTCTATCATCTGAACAAAAATCAACGCACGACCTTCCTACGCACCGCGGACAAAAAACTTAATCGTTGTATCTGTGAATGTGTTTTTAATACACTCAAAGGTAACGTCTCGCTCGAACGTTGTGAAAAAAATCGGCTAACCAAATTCAAAACGCCTCTACGTCGTATCGTTGCAAAACGTGGTAATTGGAAGGATAAAAGAAAGCTGTTGGTGCAGCGAGGCGGATTTTTACCTTATATTATCGGTCCTATATTATCGACCTTATTATCGCTAATTATCGAAGGAACGAAATAGTGGGATAAAATGTTATGGAAAGGGCAAAAAAAATGGTTTTAATTTCGACGGAAAATCTCGAGAGAATGCAACATCAGCTACGTCAGAATCCGACATCATTCGCTGACGGAGAGTCAAAAGAAATCACAGTACCGCAAAATTCGGATAACACAGCGAGCACTAATAGCACAGTGCAAACTCCCGGAACTCATCTAACACGACTCGATGCGGAGATGGGCCGTATTCTTAATTCTGACTGGCCACGCGACGAAAGTGAGAGATGGAAAATGTACAGAGAGGCATTATGGCGATACCTACGATTTATCCAAGAAACGCGAAGGCAGAAAGACGCCCGCAGCGAAAACGCAGAAGACAACGCTACACGAGATGGCTCCGCTGATAACGAGACGAGCGATGACATTTTTCACGATCTCACGCAAACATCCGATATACCGCCAGCAC